GTATACGATAATGGTGTCTATGTAGATTGTTATTCACAATTGGATATCTGATACCAAGAATTATGTCTCACTTTGAATACCTTCGTAAATAATATCGAGGATAATTTTATGAGGTTTCGGTTGGTGAATAAGTTATCACTACATTAACTCCATCTTTACAATTGTATAAACCGGACTAGGATTCTATTAGCACCGTAGTGATGTACTATTTAGTATTCATACCCGTAATTTTTAGTAACATTTTGATTCCTTTAGATCTATAGAAATACAAGTACAGGTCAATGTCCAAACAGAGTAATTTTCCGCTGACTCCTATTTTCCGAAATGTATCCGTTCCGATAACAGATCATCTTGAGCTTCTTGGCATAACCCTGACGCCCACACTCAACTTTAGCTCCTATATTATAGAGTCGAAAGCGTTACTGGCTGGTAGGAAGTTGGGTATAATAATATGGAGGCTGACACGGTACTTCACGCCGAAACAACTGCTGAACCTGTACCAAGCACAGGTTCGGTCCTGTATGAAGTACTGTTCTCATCTTTGGGTCGGGTTGGCTAAATATCAGCTGGACGCGTTAGAATACATGGAGATGTGTCTGGTGTGCCTAGAGGCTCATTAACGATAATGCGTTTGTGGAGGCCCGGCTTCAAAACATGTCGGTGAGTATGCGGGGGATTGCACAATTTGATTCCCCGCTAGTCCTTTCCATTATCGTACAACAAGACAATTGGCGAAGCGTCATCGATTCATGGTAGATGTCCCACTACACCACAAGGAGTGGAATTCTTTGCCAGAGTCTGTACTTCCTGAAGGGTATGAAGGGGACCTAGGTATCTTCAGGGCCCGAGTGAATAGGTTGTTTATGCTCCATCGTAGACCGCATCATCGCTTACCACCAGGTAAGATAGTGATCAAACGTCGGCCTATCAAAAATAAAAAAATATTTTATGAATAAAATTCTTAAGCTTTTGATACTTTATAGTGTAAGCTTATTAGCCAATGAAGGCTTGAAGCAGGACATTAGCCTCTTTAGACCGCCTCAATGAACGGCCATAACACTGAAACCTTCATTGAAAAGCACTTTGTTGATCGCATTTGGACGATAACGGTTCTCACCGTTGCTGCACCTTCGTAAATTGATTATTGGCTCATACTTTTCTTTAAATGATGCCACAGACCACAATTTATTCTAGAGAGTAGTTTGTATAGACATTTGTGACCATAAATAATTGAACTGTAACAAATAATTTGATGTATATGTAATAGTAGTGTAACAATTGATTCAATCATGAAATCTATTTTGGTATGTGCTCGAATCGAATTGAACGATAGTGTAGAGATTAAATTGGTTTAGCTTATATCTATTTATAGTCTAAAATATAGTACCTATTGTGATTGTCGATTCAAATAATAATGGAGGCATAATCTTCCTACTTACAGTTTCTTTGGTGTTTCTTCATCAGTTATGAGATAATTAGTTATTACTAATAAAATTACATTACGATAACCTACGACTTAATAGTTATCTGAAGCCCAAGAAAGATCATGTTTAAGACTAACAGTTTGTTTATAATATTAAAAACAAAAACCATTCTCTAGACACCGAACCACAATATCAATTAGTTTCATAATAAGTAGGTCCTATAGAACGAAGTAAAAAATGCAATGTAACCCAATATAATCCTAGGTGGACAAAATTATGATAATATTAATGTAGAAGGCTGCGTAGTTTTACCATCCGACGTTAGATACGCTACGTATTACATAATGAGTAGGTATAGGGTACAAAATGTACGTTTTACGTGCAAATTTGAACTTACTGCGGACTTAGGTTAGCGTCAAAGGGTAACCATATTGCGAACTCGACGGGTTTTCTCTGCACATATAGTATGACTGGATATAGAACCCACAACAAGCAGGTGGATAGTGCCACGGTATTGAATACCCGTAGCAGTAATCTTGCCTGCCTGGCGGTCGCTAAAAGATACTCTTGATGCTCCGGCTTTTTCTGATTAAATATTGGACCTGCAGAAAATATTGGTAGGTTATTAAACTTTTCAGTTTTACGAGTTTTTGAGTAGTGATATTGCTGAAATTGTGATTGTGTTTATTTGTTAAGAGCATGAATTTACCACTTTATATGGAGACATTTTTTGATTTCCAAGTTCAATCTCGATACAGAGTTTGGACGCTGAATAATCTTAAAAATAGTACACAAATACAAAAGTTTATTACTAAAACATTGGTAAAAATATTGTGTAAAACAAAACAGGACAATCTAAATCTCATGGATATAAAGAAAAAACAAGATAACGAGAAGCTATTTAATAACACGAAGTTGTACTAAATAAAATATGAAAGCATTACCTTTCATTATATTTAAAAGTATTTCAATGCGATTAGCTTTCTTCCAAAGGACAATTTGTTTGTAGATGGAATCAGAATTTGTGAGTAACAAGAACATCGTATCCATTACTTTATTTAGATCATCTCTATCCTGAAAAAATTATGTAAAGATTTATTTTTGTAATATTATGTGAGTGGGCTAACTAGGTTTTAGCTTTCTAGTCCATTGGGCAACGTCAGCAACCTTTGTTCTTAATTTTTGATTCGATCGCGCAAACTAAACACTCGGCATAGCTGTTTCCATAGCTGTGTGACTAATAACTCATGGTATTTCTAGCCGGCCAGTCTTTTTTTTTTTTTGAGAGGGGAAAATTATCCAATGAAATTATCCCACCCGGGTGAGACGAGAGGGAGTGTCAGACTCTTACTGACTAAAAACCACCCTGTTCCTACTTCTGCACTTCGAGCCGGAGCCTCGGAAACCCGTTAATTCCTCTGCGGTTCCGTATCGGCATCAGCCCTATTGGGCCTCATCTGTGGTGATCTGATGGCTTCTTGTGGTGAGCGCGGGACGCGACGCGCCGTACGTTCGGGTCTAACTGCCCAGTCTAGAAGTCATATGTTTAATAGTACGTTTTGAAACCAATAGTAGGAAGATGACGATGATGATGAAGCGAGTTTTTGCTTTCTAACTTTGAGAATATTTCATGACGGAGACTAGACACGTGTTTTTCAATAGGTATATATGCTACTAATTAGTATACTTCTTAGAAGAATAACTTAATAACAATATTTTCTGAATAGATAATAAAAAAGATTTTAATGAAGACTTTTCCTAGTATTACAAACAATTCTACTTTGTATTGTAGAAAATTAGATACTGAATTATTATGTAAGAATTCAAACAATAAAACCAAAATACCTATTATACAGGGTGGCCGGGGAGTTGACGTTGAAGCGTAAAATTTTAAAAGTAGGAAAAAAGAATTTAGTTTATCTGTCCCTAAGATTAGGTAAGACAGTAGGTATGTGTACTGAGCTTAAATCGTAATTTTGAACTTTATAACAAATTATGAAATGCCTAGAGAAACCAGCTTGTAAGGTGCTAGGTAAGACTATGTCAGTCAGTTATTACAAAACAATTGAACCAGAAACGACCAAACGAGTGAGAAAAAACCAAAAACTAATGTTATTAAAAAAATATAACTCGAAAACTACACAAAATCGTAGAACATACATGGGGGTGATTTGGATACTCCTCATCATAAAGTATCTAAATTTTACGCTTGAACGTCAACTACAGACAACGGATACTCATTAGTAACAAAATTCCTTCAGCACTTTTGGGGTTATGAAACACTAAAAATACCACTAGATGAGCACAGAACAATTTTAATCCACGGTCGTCGGTCCAGTATTATACGTATCTAGGTACCTTATGTAACGCACAGTCCTTCGGAAAAATGTGACCTTGAGTTGATTATACACGGAGGACCACAACCAGGAGACTTGACCTCTATAATACATACCTACCTAGTTTTGTGAGCCCGAAAACTGAAAATACGTAGTAATATGCCAGCCGGTACTTACTTGGTAAACTTTAATAATTTGTTGACCCGTGTATAGCAAAATTAGGAAGAATATTAGCCTCATAAAGGCGGTGTGCAGGATTCTTTTCATTTTCGCTGAATTCGGATCTAATTGATAGAAACCACAAAAGTTAAGGTTCTTCAAATGCGGTTTTACTCCCATATATGCTAGTTTATCTTCCATGTTGCTTAATCGAACAATCTAATCATATTACCCAACATTTCTCAGCGTCTTATGTAGTCTTTGTATTGTTTAAATATTTATAAGATAATAGCCTTCAAGGAATTGAAATGTGTAATTATTATTTATTAGTTATCGTAACCTATAGTTTGTTAATTACACATTGTTCTATGTTGACACCTCTGCGGTGTAATTAAGTTTGGACAGCTTGGTAGTCCAAGATTAATAAAACAAATACCAGAACTTTGTTTTACATAAATATAGTAGCCGTAGTCTTTTCAGTAAGTAAATACAATTTCAGAAAAGTATCTTTTCTGAGATTGTATTTACTTACCGAGAAAATGTAAAACTTAGACTATTTTGTCGATTTACAGATAGCTAATGATACCACCATCGACTTAATTAATAACAAATCATACCTTGAAACTCTTAAAAGTTATTTTCGTTAAATTACATAAACTTTTAAATCCAAAAAGTAAAAAACCGTAAATAGAAAGAATTAGAATCCCATCGTAAACTTTTAATACAATTAAGGTCATTTAAATTTTTCCTCATCCAAGGTAGGTAGGATACCCACGAATTTGCATTAAGTAACGATCCTTGATTGACACGTCAGATAAAAAGCAACCACAATAATGCTGTTAGTTTTTATGGAATTCAGTTAGCGCAAAGCAAAATGGCATTTTCTCAACAAACCCTCTAATTCTACTTCCTTACTTACTTATATTATAAATAGGAAAGTGAGTTTGTTTATTTGTTCCGCTTTCACGCCGTAATTACTGAACCGATTGCTTTGAATTTTTGCAGACGTAAAGTTAGAAGTCTGGATTAAATGATAGGGTACTTTTTATCTCGGAAAAATTTGATATTCCTGAGGGAAAACAAAAGTATTGGTATAGATGGCGCCGTGTGTATTGGTATATGTCACATAGGCTACTTTTTATCCTTATGTGACACGAGCGAAGCGGCGGGTAAAAGCTAGTTCCTAATAAAAGGCATTTAACGCCTCTGGTTTTTCGGGTGTCCATGAGCGGCGCCGACTTGCTTACCATCAGGTGATCCGTATGCTTGTTTACCTGTTTATCTCCTAAAAAAAAATGAGTTAAAACACTAGGTTTTGCTAAAAGTGGCATTTAGTTTAAATCTCATATTTAAACTTATATTGGTCTAATTAATTTAATGACTGCCTCGTTGGTCGAGTGGTCGCAAGTACGACAAGGGGTCTCGGGTTCGATTCCCGGGTCGGGCAAATTATTACTAAGTTTTTATAAATTCTCAGTAGTAGCACGGAGTCTGGAACTGTGCCCGGTATTTGGCAATAGGCGCACTATTACATGGGACTCATAACATAAATAGTGAAAAGTGGGTGTTACATTGTACAGTGGCATAATGAACACCTGGTCGATCATGACATGGTTTTCACATAGATCTACATCTCCTACTAGTCCAACTGCTGTTCTATGATCCTACTCTACCTCTACATGAAACAGTTTGCCACAATCTCCACGTCTGCCAGAAGAGATTGCAGTTTAAAAAACACCTTTGTCATTTTGATCTCAATAAAAAGTAAAAATATTAATAATTTTCAATTTCATATCCATCGTAGTTTAATTCTTGATAGAGTATTCGTAAATTATAATTTAAGTAAACAGTCAACCCATTGTCGGGTGGTAAATTATATATTAATAATTAACTAGACAATATTGTGTTTGAGTTGCCAGTGGAAATATTTTAGTATCGTTAAAATTCACTTTATATTCTGGCCGTATAGTTGACTGGTATTTTTGCTTCTCTTCATATATTTTTTGTCAATAAACTAATTTTAAAAAGTAATTATGTTGTAATTACAATTGTACGTTGTATTTTCTTTAATTCTTAATGTGCGTGTTATAAAGTAAATACGTTACTCAAGCCTCGTAAATGTAATATATGAGTCAATTTTATTGTATTCTTATAATTATCTAAGGTTATCCATTTTAAGTCAATTCAAAGAAAGCATAATAAGTGTGGGATAACACATAATAGGTGTGGGAGAGCCATGCTTCGGCACGAATGGGCCGGCTCGACCGGAGTGATACCACGACCTCACAGAAGACCGACGTGAAACAACACTTGCGTTGTGTTTCGTCGTGAGAGTGAGGTTACCGGAGGCCCAATTACCCCCCCTTCCCCAATCTCCCCAATTCCCGAATCCCCAACCATCCTCAAACTCCTAATCCCCAAAAGGCCGGTAACGCACTTGTAACGCCTCTGGTGTTCCAGGTGTGTGATACGTCTGCTCGTTTACCGACTTATGCCATAAAAACCGACTTATGCCATAAAAAACCACATGAAACTAACAAGTCTTCGCCCATTTTTACTCAAGTTAAACCCAAATGTTTATCACAATTTTTACAACAAAATAACAATTCAATAAAAAATACTACGTCCAATACCAATACCCAACTAAAACAGAAATATCCTGTTAGCACAAATAATTGTATTTCCTACAAACGTCGCTGGATAATTAACCGCATTCATTACAATTTGATCGAATCATTTATTTAAGTCTAAGGGAATGGAAGATTATTGATTAAAGTACCAATTTTGAAACAACAATACGTTGAACAACTATTAATTTGTGTCTCGAGCCGGCGTGGTTACTCGAAACTTCTCGTTTAAGAACTCCCAAAGTCCTAAGACCGCTTGAAGCAGCGTTTATAAATAAATATTAGGCAAGCACTGTGTAAGTTTTAAATACTTAATGTTGGGTAAGTAATTTAATTCTCATGTTAATTTAGTAATGCTTAATAATGTGTTAATTTTTATGTGTTTTGTGGTTTAAATATGAGTACAAAGCTCTTTTTTATACTAGATACGTTTGACAACTATCTCGCCTGATGATAAGCGATGATACGGTCTACGATGGACCACGTAGTCCCATAAGCAACCTATTCACTCGGGCCTTAAAGACACCCTTTCAGAAAATATAGCAAAATTAAAAGCAACTATAAAATAAATACTAAAAAGCTTGTTGCCATACATTAGTACGTAGCCAATATAAATAATATTACAAATAAGTAGAAGATTAGAAATATCTATAATCACATTTTCCGTCTATATCAGATAACCTTTAAGTGTGGGAGAGCCATGCTTCGGCACGAATGCGCCGGCTCGACCGGAGTGATACCACGACCTCACAGAAAACCGATGTAAAGCAACGCTTGCGTTGTGTTTCGTCGTGTGAGTGAGGACTCATAGGAAACTACTACGATAGATAGATAGATATAATATACGATTACCGGAGGCCCAATTACCCTCCCCTTCCCCAATCTCCCCAATTCCTGAATCCCCAACGATCCTCAAACTCGTAATCCCGAAAAGGCCGATAACTCACTTGTAACGCCTCTGATGTTCCAGGTGTCCATAGGCGACGCCGATTGCTTACCATCAGCTGATCCGTTGCTCGTTTATCGGCTTATGCCATAAAAAAGAAACCTAATAAACTAATAAGGTTTTAATTACTAACCTGATTATACCCTATAACTTTTACACACACTCCAAGACAACTGCGCAATCAATAATTACTCCAAACTTTAATTAAAATCGTTATAAAAATGAATTTGACTACGCAGTATGTTGTGCAAAGTTTAAGGATGAAACAACTTCAAACTTCATGTGAAGGTAATTGCCGTGTTTAAAAGTAATTTTGCTGAAATTACACTCGAAGAGTAGGTACTCTTCAAAGAACAAGTCTGTAGGTACTCTTACTTACCTAGAACAAACCTCTACTTAGAAAACTTTGTCTCTGAACATAAATTTAGCTGGAACAAGTAACCTATGTAGTTGATTTGTAGGTAGGTACTAAGAAATACGTATAGATATGAGTATTGCAGATGGTTTCCATTTTTTCCTTAGAATCTAGATGTATCATGTATCACAGATGTTGCTCCTAGAAATGGAATCCATGGTATATAGGTTCCAAATTATCTTTTTTTTTTTATGGAATAGGAGGCAAACGAGCAGACGGATCACCTGATGGTAAGCGATCAGCGCCGCCCATGGACACCCGCAACACCAGAAGAGTCACAGGTGCGTTGCCGGCCCTTTAAAAAGGAGTACGCTCTTCTCTTGAAGGTTTGAAGGTCGTTATCTACACTAACATTTTGCCAATCCTGTTATGCTAACTCAATGACCAGAAATGGGCGAACATTCGACAAACAAATGAATGCCTACTATTTAAAATTAAATGTTTAGGTAAGTATTTAAGCATAAACTATAGGAAAGGTTAACTAGATTAATAAAATTACTTACCTACTAGTAAATAAATAATGGACCGAAAAGCGAATATCTACCTACTTCATGAACTTTTGTAACTCTATATATTAATAATTTAGTTTAAGCTTACATGATACGTATAAATAGTATAAGAACAATAATCAGAAAAATAGAAAAGAAACCAATTAGAAAACACAAAATTATACAGAAATTTAAAACAACAATGATATAGGGATTACGCAGTGCCTTCTCGAGTGCGCGCAGTGGCAACACAGCCCTTTGTCACGTTTAGTTCGTCAAGTTGAGACTGAGCACTCGTTAGCAATGTGTTATTGCTCACTTAATTCTTACAACGAGTACTTAACGAGTACTGTAATTTACAGAGCATTACGTACCTACGAGCATGAGTTTGTTTCTTTACGTAGAAAAGAATTGTAAAAGTATTTGGTGGTTTATGATATTCTGCTATTTGTTCGTCATGTAAATAATTATATGTCATATACTCGAGATATATCTATAAACAGACAGGCATGGTCCTCAACAGCCCGTAACAGTCTGATATTGGACTATGATCTACCTTTACAAGAGAGGGTTTGCTGTGATCTCCAAGCTTGGCAGGCGAATCGCAGATGGCAGTTGAAACGGCTTAGGTTTGGGAGAGACCGCTGTTCACCACTTTGTATATGGATCTCAAAATATATAAGTCAAAGAGACAATAAAATCAAAAACCCATAACCTATGATATGAACATAACTAAA